TCAGTAAATCCAAACCTCACCAAACTTGGAGGGCAGGTAAAGGAGAGTCAGCTGGAGATCCCCTGCAAGTTTGGTGTCTCTAGTACACTGCAAGGGGGGATTCTACTGCCTCACGAACCAAACAGGTTCGTTTGGCAAGTAAAAGTTTGTGACAGTTCATGGTTCACGAGTTGAACATCCCTAATTGTTTGTATCAATCTGGTATCTAAAACATAGAAGAGGAGATGCTTGGCATTTATAGTGCTGACTATATTAAGTCTGTGCCATTTCTGAGCTCAGAATTACTTCTAAAAGCATAGTAAATAGTCTGGATTTTATGGACTTGGAACCCACAGGTAGGGAGAGGATGTCAGTTCACTTTGTGGAACAGGACAAGTTGGGACAGTGGCTGTCTTTAGTTCCTTCAGTACTATCAGCTTATAAAGTGAGGGTGGGATGTGCTTTGATTCTGCTTCTTACCCTAATCGCTCTGGATTCATCTGCGCACACATATCATACACCAAAACGATTTGGTAGTTAGAGAATTAGACATGGGAAAGTTGAACCCAAAACTTATCACTTTTCTGTATAGCCTCATTAGAAGTTGGGCAAGACCCTGTTTCTCATCCTCTGTTTCCCTTTTTAAAAGTGGGGAAATCACATTATGTTGAATAAAAGTAGCAGTAGAAGTAACAATCCCAGGGATTGTTGTAAAGTCAATTAAGATAAAGTCTGGAGCGTTATATAAATGATAAACAAAACTGTACTAGTTTCGATGAGATAAGCTTGCTGCTGGAATGCTGTTGCAAAAGTAGGACAGAGCTTCTATACTTGATGGATGTATACCTTATTATACAACAAAGCAGTTGCCATGTTCCCAGCTCAAAAAAAAAAAAAGCCTAACACTAAAAGCCAATAGCTAGCCTGGTTCAGACTCCTTGTAGAGCCTCAAAATCATGGATCAGTATAAAGTCCATGGTGATGATGTCACTGTCTCTTTATATTCTGATTGCAAGACTGCAGGACAAGGACAATATAAACCGTCATTTTATTTTAAGCAAGCCCAGCATTGTAGAATATTTACTAACCACCAGGCCGTATGTGTCTTGCTAGTCAGGCTGGTTGTTCATCTAGCCCACTATTCTGCCTCTAGCAACATCCAGCCAGATGCTCACCTGCAGATGATGATGGCCAAAGCTCTCTTCTCTTGTTTGTTCCCCATATCTGTTATTTGGAAATATGTTGCCTTGTATGGATTTTTCATCCAGTTGTTAGCTCTCAGTAGACCTATCTGCCATTGTCTAAACATTTTTTTGGCTGACTGTTTTTTTAAAGTGCTGCATTGTGGGTAAAGCCTCAGCACAGCCCTTTCAACTTTGTTGCTGGTTATTATTTCAGCCAGCTATTTTAAGTTATATTTAGCATATCCTGTGTATGCATGTGGGTGAAGGCGCACATCCATTTACTTTCATGAGGAATAGCAGAAGGACTCATATGCTGACTAGCATTTCCACCACTTTGTTATCATTAAATGATCACTTGCTGGCATCAATGAACTTGGTTTCTGAACTGATGTAGCTATTTCTCTTCCATGCTTGGTGCACGGGAAGATGGGGGGCACCTAGGCTTGGGACCTTGGGCAGTGAACAGCACCCTTCTGCTTATCTCAGTTGCTTCTTTTGATGAGGGGGGAAAAGGCCTCCCGGCGGCTCTCAGATTGCGCCTGCAACAGGAACAGCAAATCCAGTGAAGGCTCCGGATTTGCTCCAGCAAGCTAAATGATCTGGCTTGTTGTATATTAAATTGAAGTTTTCTGGAGTGGATAAAATAGGATTGAAGTCAGTAAAGTGGATGTTTCAACTGAACAGTCATTTTGCTTTGAGGACTGGGTCAAATATATATTTTAAAAGGCAGATTGTTCAACTCTCCTGATTTCATTAAAGACATTTTTTTCCCATGGTGAATAACATTATCATGAAATGTAAAGCATACCATAGTCCATACAATAAAGAACTGAACTTGAAATATGTAGTTTCAAATCCAGGCTTGACAAGATTACCAATAGCAACATTACAGTCTGTTCCTATAAATCAGTGTGCTAACACACTAACTAATAACATAGGCATGAAGGCAAACCCATACCTCCTGTGCCAGGGATTGTTACTTCCCCCCCCCCCCTCAGAAAATAGAGCACATCTCATCTACTCTTCCTTCCTTAGCAAGTATAATGTTCTTTTCCAGCTGTAGCGGTGCAAGTCACTTCTTGCACTATTGCAATGTAAGCAAATCTATGGAATACGACCTGTAAAAAATGCCAGTACAGTGTTGCCCCATTCCAAACTGTACTTGAATAGACATATGGAGAGCTGTCATTCACTTTGATGAAGAAAGGAGCTTTGCAAGGAAGCAGGTATAGAGCTGCACTTCTAGGGAAGTCAATGAGGTAAGTTAGCAAACAGGGCATCTCTTTATGAACAATGCAAATACACATGCTCTCAATTGTGGGCTATGTCTGCAACAAGAAATGCACACAACCTGCATAGAACTTCAGAATCTCTTCCTGGGTACCCAACTCACCATCTTAAGTACTACATATTTCACTGACAAACTATTTCTCACTTGTGCTGGATTAGAAGGGTGTGGCAATGCTTGGTTAAGCTTCTGAAGCCAAAGGGAATTAAGTATTACTTCCAGTGATTGAGGTTTCTAAACCAGCACATCAGGGGCAGACGTGGAGGGCAAAAGGGGCCTGGGAAAAGGCCACACCCCCTCCTGCAGCCACTCCCCTCTCCTAACTGAGGGTGCTACTGCACTCCTCCTTGCTGGCCACACCCTACACAAGCCCCCAGGGCAAAGGTGAGCACTGCCATGCTTCTTCCCTCCAGATGCACCACACCTCAGCTGGCAGAGGGTGAAGCCTGGTTCTGTTGTGACTGTGTTCCTCCTTGCCAGCCTAGACACAGTAGCTTCAGAATACGAGTGATGCCATGCTCCTCCTTCCTGGCTGTGACAAATACCTATGCCAGGAGGGTGTGCCCGTGCTTCTCCTCACCAGCTTCTCCATACCAACACAGGACAAAGCCAAGCACCGCTGTGCTATGCTTCTCTTTGCTGGCTTGAGCATGGTGGAGCTATCAAGGAAGAATGCAGGTCCTGCTCACACAGAACAAAAGTGGCACTCTTTACTGGTCTAGACGAGGAGGAGAACAGGCACAGTGGCTCCCAGCTTTGTCCTGTGCCAGTGGTACCTGTACTGTGCCTCACCACCTCCACTGTGGGGGTGGCGGGGTTTAGGGCAAGAGCCCACTGGGATTTCCCCTTAAATAAATGGCCTGTCTGCCTTGCAGCACTAATTCTGTCCCACCTTATTCTATATGCATCTTCCAACTTTACAAATGTGTGCAAAGTCCATGATTTCTCTCTTCCCTCTCTCCTTACCCTTCACAATCAAGTTATTCATTAACTTCTTTGAAAAACTCAAATAGTAGAAACAGAAAGAACTATACAACATAAGGACATGATCCAGGCAAAGGAACTTTACTGTCTTCAGGGGTAGTCCACGTAAACAGCAGTATAATAATCCAAATAGGAGGTTACTAGGCATGTGCCATGAATAAGATGTACTGTCTGACTTTTCATATGATGAGTCCTTCTGTTGTAGGCAGCAGTGTTCCCTCTAAGCTGAGTTAGTGTGAGCTAGCTCACAGTTTTTTAGCCACCAGCTCACACATTTAGCTCAGGAAGGATGGCTCCAGAGCAGGGGTGGCCAAACTGCAGCTTGGAATCCACATGCAGTTCTTTCACACATATTGTGTGGCTCCCGGGAGGGTGGCTGTGGAAGCAAAGGGAAGGCATGCCTCCCCAATCGGTCTTCCTTTCCCCAGCCAGTGTTCCCCTCCCTGGGTAGGCGTGAGATGGGGGGAGCAGAGAAAGAAAACAACTTTAAACGTGTTCTTAAAGACACCCCTCCCCCGGCCGGCTTGGAGAAGGCATTTGTATCTTTAAATCCCTTCTACAAGCCCAGCCAGCCAGCCAGCCAGCCGGCATGAGGGCGTAGGGGTCTTGGAAGATGCATTTAAAGTTAAAGTTGCTTTCTTTCCATCTCTCCCTCCCCCCCTCCCCATCTAAAGTTAAATATCAGTATCTTTTACCCCTCATTTAATTGTCAGGACCCACAGCAACAATGGAGTACACAGTTGCAGGAAGGTTTTACTTTATTTGAAGCTATAGATGCATGGACAGGAACACTGTTAGGAATGAGGGGGGGAGCAATGAGCATGACATGTTATAGTACATTCAAACAACTGAGGCCCAATTGCAGGAGTTCCCATGTGCGCCATCGGGCCTGGGAGCAAACGCTTCTAGGCGGCACAAGCTATCTCCTTCCCATGGTTTTTCGTGAGATCATCTATGTGGCTCTTATGATAAGCAAGTTTGCTTACATAAGCAAGTAGCTCACATAGTAGAATTTTTGCTCACAAGACCCCAGAGCTTACAGGGAGCATTGGTAGGCAGGGGTATAATTGATGACTCTGCTGAAGCTGATTCAGTGTGTTTTGTAAATAAAAATAATGTTATGCACAATCCACATAATCCTAGTTAAAATGCTGTCATCATATTTTGTATGTCAGGATGAATACAACAACGTTTATAAAGCACTAGCAAGTTATTACTAATTCTGACACTCAACAACAGCAAAAATCCGAACACATCAATTTGGTTAAATCAGAACTATTATTAGATTCCTTTTGAGACCACAAGAGAAATTTCAGCCACACAGAATCACTTGAGGATATAAGTTACTCACTGGTAGCAGTTAGATTCTGAAAAGACATTGATATAAATCAGGAATTACCACTTCAGGTCCTGTCATTTTAAGGACACCGAATGTTACCTGAGAAATTGTTTTAGCTTCTGGCCCTAATCTTGAAGTCAGTGGAAACTGTCCCAAATCGCACATTGTTCAACAATGCATCAGTTTGTCACAAGCTAACTCACTTCCCCGTTTCTTTCAACCACAGGTTCCTCGAGCTAAAGCCCTATACAGCTACAGAGGACACAACCCTGGAGAACTAAGGTTCAACAAAGGTGACATTATTATATTGCATCGTCAGCTGGATGAAAACTGGTACCTAGGAGAAATCAATGGGGTCAGCGGAGTTTTCCCAACAAACTCAGTGCAAGTTATCAAACAGTTGCCACAGCCGCTAGCCCTGTGCAGAGCACTATATAACTTTGATCTGAAATCCAGGAATAAAAATGATAAGGACTGCCTGACTTTTCATAAGGTGAGCCTAGTGTTTTACAACTAACAACAGAGACCTCATTTATGCATGCCCCTTTAGCTTTGGAGCAGTGATTCATTCTGTCCAGTATCTAGTCTGTTGTCAATAAAAGAACACAACACTCAGGCCAGTAACAGACATGCTCACTGAGTCAGTCACCACCATTCATGCAGACTTTATGAATACCTAAGATCAGGTCTTTTGGGGGGATGGTACTCATCAGTACTGAGTACTGGCACCTTTTGCAAGGCTCTTCCAAGTCCTGAAGGGGAACTGATGGAAATCCGCAGAACCTGATACATGAGTACTGGCACCTTTTTTATTACACACACACACAAAACCAGCCTAAGATACAAGACTGTGGTGGACAGCCTTTTTAGCAAGTGTGCCAAAAATTATGTCTAAAGAATGAAATAGTGCTGTTTCAGTGTAATAAATTACATAGTCTTGGAGTTATTTTTGCCACCAGTCTGCTAAACTGAGGATCAGGCTCCAAAATAGCACTTGCAGAAGCTAGCAGGAATCTTGGCCTGATTGGGCCATAGTTATACTCAATAGACCCTACTTCTCCTATCTAGGTTCCACAAATTCCTGATGCCTGTACAACTTGCTCTATCTGTGCTGCAGGTTAGCTACCTATAGCTTTGATAACATCCTGACTGTGAACATCTACTTTATGGTACGTGTGTGTTCCTTGAGCAGCTTTATCATCCCTTGTCACAGTAACTAAGTATCTCTGTAGAAACTGTACAAGCCATAGTTGTGAATGAAGCTATCTCAGAGGAATAGATTGATCTCTTCCCCACCAACATAAATGACAACAGAGAGCCAAAAAGCAAGATTTCTCATAGAACTGTGCTGAACTTGTCATTGAACAAAAATGTCAGCAGCCAACCTTCCAAACAAAAAATATTCTCTTTTGGATAAGAGAAGGGTACCTTTTCAGAAGTGGAAACAGTACCCACATGTCCTGAGACTCATTGCCCTCATTTTTAATGTCTTAATCATGGGCCCGTGTAGCACAAAATCAGCCTTACTGTGTGATGCATCAAGGTACTTTGGCAAATAAATTAAGAGGGTGTGGCTCCTGAAAAAATTGATAGTGCTTTTATCAAAGTCCATTTGTACAGTCCAAATAAAACTCACAGCTTTCACCAACTGATATCTATCCTATCAATGTTTTGCTCCATATTTGCTATATTTGATACATGATCAAAATTAGTTTTGTGAGTTCATCTGTTGAGCTGTTTTTGAACAGACTCCATGGTTTGTGATTGTACCCAATATCTATAATCTTCAGCCCTGAAAAGAATTTTCCATGCAAGAAATCAATTTATTATTTATTTGTTTAGGCTGTTTCTGTGCCACCTCTTCAGAGTTCTGCTCGAGAAGCTTACAGTTAAAACCCACAATATTAAAGCATAAGCCATTAAAACACAAGCTCTTGAACATAACTAGCATAAAAACTATCCATAAAACAGAAGTAAACCATTAAAAAGGTGATAGGATAAAAGCACTAATTAAAAGCTTGGGTAAAAAGATGTTTTTTAGCCTGGTCTCTAGAAAAAAGTAAAGTAGGCACCTCAAGGGGAAGGATGCTCCATGGGTAAGGTGCCACCACAGAAAATGCTCTGTCTCTGAAGAGGTGAGAGCAGAAAGCAGAGCTTGAGAGGCAGATCTTAACTTGTAGGCTGGATAGTATGGGAGAAAATAGGGCAGGGATTATCTGTTTCAAGGAAAAGAGACAGAACTGGCTTTTCCCTCTTTCAAAGGGCAGAAGCTCATAGAACTGCCACCGCCCATGATCACCTAGTTTCCTGAATGCCTTAGAGCACAAGCCAGAAAATGTATTCAGCCCTAGGAACTCTAATTTGCTGAATGGCACCAAGAAGGTACAGTCATCATACAAAACAAAACAGAAATCCAGTGGCACCTTAAAGATTAACAGTATCTATTCAATAGACTAACATGGCTACTGCACTGGAACAATTCTAATGCAGTTATCACAGTTACTTCCTTTACCAAATTAAACCGTCTTTCACTCCATTTTCCAATGCAAAGGATTTCAGTATAAAGAGATTGCACTGTGCAACCACAGATTATAATAGCCACTGGTAGTTTTCAATTGATTAACAGAAACAGAAAATGTCATTAACCAATAAGGAAGTTTCTTGCTGTGTTTAGTCCAAAGCAGGGCTTTTTTTTCTGGGGGAACACGCCGGAATGGAGTTCTGGAACCTCTTCAACAAAATTCTTTTTAAAATGTTTAAAAGTTCGTGAGTTTTTAGTATACAGATTGAAGACTTCATTTCCCTCTTGAGAGTTCCTGCACCTCTTTAAAAAAAAAAGAAGCCCTGGTTCAAAGTCCCATCCAATCAAACGGTGGAATTGAACACAGATTGTGTCAGGACTTTTTGACTTGTGGCTCTGGAGAATCAGTTATGTTTTTTTTTAATGTAATCTATTGTTGGTCAGTTGTTTCTCTGTTTATAAAAATAAAAATCTCTTTAAAAAAAGAGAGAGAAAGAGAGAGAATCTGCTACCCTTTGAGGCCTGGCCTTGGAAGCTGTGTTAGGGTTGCCAAGTCGAAAAAATGTACTTACCGGGGGACTCCCGGTCCACGGCTGGAGCGCGCGTGCGTCACCAGGAAGTGACGTTATGACGCCGGGCATGCTGGGGGCGGGGCCACGACCATCTGAGGGAAAACCATAGAGTTTTCCCTCGGATGACCGTGGCCCCACCCACAGCATGCCTGGCGTCATAACGTCACTTCCTAGCAGAGGTCATTTTGGGGGGGATCGCAGTTCCCCCGGGTGAGGTATGGGGGCGGGGCACATGATGAAGCCCCGCCCCCTGCTTCCGGCCGCCCCGCTTCCGGCCCTCATTCAGCCAGGAGGAGGCCGGGCCCCTCATGGGGCTTGGCAGTGGAGCTGCAAGGCTGGCGGTGGCGGCCGGGACCATTGGGGGCGGGGTGTGTGGCCTTATGACACACTTCCGGTGATGTCAGGGGGTGTGGCCTTATGACACACTTCCAGTGATGTCAGGGGGTGTGGCATATGCTAATGAATTATGCTAATGAGTCCCCCTAGCTCTTTTTCTATGAAACGACTCCTGCTTCCTGGTGACGTGGACGCCGGGGTGGGGTTCCCCCCGGGGCCTGATCTGCCGCCGGCGGGGAATGGGCCTCTGGGGCGGGGCTTTCCCTGCCCCCCGGGGGGACTTGGGAAGCCTAAGCTGTGGACATACAACTCATTGTTCTTTAACATACATTTTAAAGTGTAGACGGTAAAGGTTTCACTGTTTTGTTTTGAGGGTGTATTTGTTTGAGGCTCGCTGCCCCTGCTTTGAAATAGGACTTGTGTATGGTGAGTTGCAGAGAGAGAGGAGGGGGAGGGCTGGAAGGTCTGAACATTTTTTTTTGCTCAAAGCAGGGGACTGCCCGTTGCTAAACTCTGAGAACCACACTCTGCATGTGTCTCCTACATATTTTCCATTTGTCTCAGTATTGTATTAAGCATAATTAACAGGATTGCCATTAGTTTTTCCTAGACACATGCCCTTTACCATCTGGGGGATGACAAGAAGTATATTTTGCAGTGCAGATGAGCCAGATAACTCATAATATAGTCATGAGCAAACCTCATTATGTCAGGGGTATATCACAGTGTTGTGGCAAATTGAATGATGAGGGCAAGAAGTACTTCAGGGGTGTTTCCATACAGCACTGAAATCAGGGTTGGCTTGAAGGAGAGCTGTGGGAGGACAGCTGAGCTATGGAAAAGACAGTTGTTATCACAGCCTGGGATGTGAAGGAACCAGCTGCGAGAGTCAGTTTTCACTGCTGCATCTGCTGCAGCTCGTTTCAGTAGTACCAGCACTTTTTAAAGTGGCTCTCAGCATCACTGAGGAGAACACAGGAGACAGTAGGAAGGGACCGTTTCCTTTGGTAGTTGCAAACATTGTCCCCATTACATGCCATCTGGTTTTGTTTTTCCTCCTGTTTTATTGTCTTCATTTGTCTTTGTTTCAATGGTTATTCATTTATTTTTTATTTTATTTATTTTGCTAGACTTCTAGCCCTCCCTCCCCTGCACTACAAGTCTCAGGGTGGGGTACAACAATTTAAAAACAATATTGTATATTAAAACAATTTAACATAGTAACAATTAAAAATAGAATTAGGTGGCACCATTAGGCTGTTTGCTATTGAAGACAGAGCTCATCTCTACTCCTACAGCACAATTAAAATACTGGGATTTACTGTTCCACGTAAAACAAGCAGATGCCATTTCGGCAAGGGGGGAGGGATATACTACCATACCTGTGGCTGGCAACTTTAGCTAAAGTTTATATTAATTAATTAATTAATTAATTAATTAATTCATTCATTCATTCATCTATTTAAAGCATTTCTATGCTGCCTTTTGACCCAACTCAGGTTTTCACTGCAGAACTGAAACAGTTTCTTTGCCAACTTATTGTTGAAACCCCTAGCAGTCAAAAGAGTTCATTTCCACCTTTCCACAACCACAAACAGACCATAGCAGTGTCTCTTCTTCTCGCCAGTCTGCCCAGTGATCTGTAACAAAGTGCCATTTTTTTGTTTTTGACATGCTCTGCATAGGATGGATCCTCCTACAAGGGACATAAAATGCCTCGCTTTTCCTTTTGTTTTCAGAGTTGTATGAGTCAGGACTACAGCTTAACTGTGGCTATGATTAAACTGCTTTCAAATATTCTTGCAGAACCACTGTTTTTTCAGATGCTGGGTTTTTTGGCACATACAGAAATCACAAGTTCTGTTTAACACTAGACAATTATCACCTTGCAGTCTTAGAAATAGGGCTGAGCCAGATTTTTGTGGTTTTACAATTTTATAGCCTAAGATGAGATTTCAAGTAGCATAAGATTTTCTCCTAAAGAAAAGTGCCTTCTCAAGACAAAGAAATCATTTTTCACGTTAGGGAAGAGGAAGGATACTACTAGAGTCCACATATGGCTGCAGTTTGCCTGCATTTTGAGGGAGACGATTGATATGCAGAACACATTCCAACTCTTCTCTTGCCAAGCAAAGAGCTGGCTAGATCTCTAGTTCCGATCACCTTTTGAAATTACTGCTAGTATTGCTCCCTCTTCTTCCAGTTGGAGGTAGATTAGGACTTAAAGCAAGGCAACTATTTTTACATTGATAGGGTGGTCCAGGAAGATCCCCAAATTCAGGAGGATTCTTACATGGGATACAAAGGGGGGTTATATTATATTTTTATATTATATTATATTTTATAATTTTTATATATTTTATCTTCACACTCAGTCTTGGTTTACAAATTAAATGCTCTCATCTATTCAGGATCACATTCAGATTTAAAGGCCTTTTCGACTTCTTTACAGCATTCTAATGCCAGATGAATACATGAATTTCCAAAACCAATTTTTTTTTTTTTTTAGGATATTTATCAAATACACACCCCAAATGTCCTCAAGGTTCAGTTATATACAGGACCAACAGGGTACCAGTGGTGGGAACCGGGCAATAATTTATTATGAACCTAGCAGTGTATTCTGCTCCTTGGCCTGAGTGAATTTGTTAGGGATTGAAACAGAAGAGTTTCAAAAGCAGTTTGTGTTGTAGTGTGAGGCTCAGCATTCCAACAGATAAGTCAGAAAGTCTTCCTAGTGCTTCCAGGAAGGAGTGCCTCCATCCACCTGCTCTATCCCCTGAGGTCCTGCTGCAGTTTCTGTCTGCCCCTCTAGTGTGAAGTGCTGCAGATGTTTAAAAGTTCCAGGGCCATTCCTTGCTGTAGTGTCCCATTTATGCAAGCCTACCTAGCCAGCTTCACTTCTTACTCCAAACACAGACTTGTTTTGCTGGAGGGCGCTTGCTCTTCCAGAGCAAAAGTGAGACTGGGTACAGTCTTACGTGGTAACTCTAGAATATGGTTCTTTTGTTCATGCTTTGTACTCTTTTAAAGATTGCAGGGCCAGTATCAGTGTACCCTGAGATGGAGCAGCTGCCAGGGTCCAGGGCTTCTGATAGGGCCCATTTTCACTGACCCTCCACCCCACCCACATGCCCTTCCCCTGCCCACCCATGAGCACTCTACCACCAGTGCTTCCAGCTGCACATACTTTTCAACTGCCAGGGAAGGATGTGAAGGTGGTATACAACAGCAGCACTCCCAACTGCACACACCACCCAAAATCATCAGGGAAAGGTGCATGCAGCTGCAAGCACAGGTTGTGAGAAGTCTCATGAGAAATTGGGGAAGAACGCAAGGCAAGTGAGACACGTAGGTTGGTGGAAAAGGAGGCACACACAAGAGTCCTGATGGTAGGCAGAAGAAGGGAAGGGGGCCCATGTGGACTGGTTTGTTGTAGTGGTTAGGAGCATGAAGTCTAATCTGGGAGAACCATGATTGATTCCCCACTCCTCCACATGCAGCTGCTGGCATGACCTTGTTCTCTCAGAGCTATTCTTTCAAGAGCACTTCTTGAAAGAGCTCTCTCAGCCCCACCTACCTTACAGGGTGTCTGTTGTGGGAAAGGGAAAGGAGATTGTAAGCCACTCTAAGACTCCCTTGGGTAGTGAGGGGTGGAGTATAAATCCAATCTCCTCTTCTCTACTGTCCCCACAAAAACCTAGAACTGGTCCTATTTATTGATTTAAGTTTCATTGTATACTGCTCCAAGTATATCGAGCATGAAATGGGAAGTGAAATGCAAGCCATTTGCAGGAAACTTTGTGGGTGTGTAAAGTGCCATAAAGTCAGCAACCCCAGTAAGGGGCTTGCAAGGTAAGTGAGAAGCAGAGGTGGTTTGCCATTGCCTTCCTCTGCAGTCTTCCTCGATGATCTCTTCCTTTCAAGTACCAGCCAACAGCTTAGCTTCCCAGATCTGATGTAGTTGGGCTGTGTCATGTTGCATTCCCTCTGCAGAAACCTTTAGATCCCAGCATGCATGGGTACATGACATGCATTGTGTCCACAATCCACAGAACTGTTTTGAGACAACTGAGAACAACATTTCATTCATTCATTCATTCATTCATTCATATCCCTCCTTTCTCCTTACTGGGAACCCAAAGCAGTTCACAATGCAGAAATGAAGTACAGTAATACAAAAGAAAGAAACAAACTGGAGAAGAGAGGGTGAACATGTCAAAATGCAGAGCAGATCTTCCTGCTAGTTTTAGGCTACAGCCCTCAGTCTAAGAGCTCTTCCTTTGGTTTGTGCCTGCAGCCACACCCAAGAGCTTAAGTACCTACAAAGAGGGAGAGCCTGGACTTTATAAGCTGGCAGCCTTCTTCCCACAATTGGCCCCCTGCTGATCACTTCCATTTGGGACTTTCCTAGCCACCTGCAAAGCTGTAAAGTTTAACTTTGCAAAAGTCTGATTTTTAAAAATAATTTGGCTGAATTATAGGTTTGTAATAGGTTAAACATCCCCAGAATCATCATTTCATACAGGTTCTCAACTAACTTGGGGAAGGGGGGAAACCCATGTACCTTTTAATGCAGTGAATGCGTTTTTGTATTAAAAGCACTTATTAGCTGTTGATTGGCTCCCTCTTAAATTCTGTGAGATTGTTCTGAATGAACAGAAGGATGTGCGGGGCATCTAGACAGGAAAGAAGGCTCGATGTGTGTGAAACGTTGAAGAATGTGAGATTGGAAAAGTGACTGCTTCCCAGTGTTTCTGTGTATTTCTTCCTCTTTCCCATGTTTCAGTGGTATACAAGCCAGAGTTGGCATGGTTCATCTCTCACTTTAATGCAGGTGGTAGCCCATGTGTTATCTACCAAGCACAAGTCCAGTATGTTGGTAACCACCTGTTATTTGCTTTCAGGGTGATATAATCACTGTAATCAGCCGAGTGGATGAGAACTGGGCAGAGGGGAAATTGGGTGACAAAACTGGAATTTTCCCCATCTTGTTTGTGGAGGTAAGGCCAGTCTATTGAACATTCACCAAGTACTAAAGCTGCCAGCATCTGTATATACATCACTTAATCTCAAGATTGGTCTTTATGAGCAGTAACAGCCAATGAGTTTTCCTGATCAGTGTAGGCAGGAGGAATGTTCAAGACTCAGCTGGACACATCGATCAGTGGGAAGAGGGGAAAGAACAAACTGAGAGCTGAGCTAACTGAAGACCTGAAAATAGTGGGTGGGGGCCAGCTTTTAAAATCATTTGCAAACCACAATAATGTGGCATTTATTATGTAGTTTACTATTTTTATAAATGTATATCCAGATTGCTGGGCAAGGCTTTCAAGCTTTGAGGCTGATAGTCACAGAGGCAGGCCTGAACTAGTCTGAAAGTCTTTTTTAAAAACATTTTTAATTGCTTTTCTAAACTACAATACTACAGGGTCGGGGGATGGGAACAACCCTGTTCTGTGGGGAGGGGCTATAATGTTGGTATATATTCACTGCATGCACTGGCATGATCGTGTAGCACCTCCACACTGATGCCTCTCCATAGACATAAAACTTTAGGGGATAAGGGACAAGTACCTAGTGTTATCACTTTAGAAACCATCCGAATGGGGATATTAGCAGTGTGCCTTTATTAGGATTAACCCTAAGTAGGCTTATGTGAGAGACAGATGTTGCTGGTAATGGGCAGGGTAGTAGGGAGCCAATATGGTGCAGTGGTTAGAGTACTTGACTAGAATCTAGGAGACCCAGGTTCAAATCCCCACTCTGCCATGGAAGCTTGCTGGATGACCCTGGGCCAGTCACATACTCTCAGCCAAACCTACTTCACCAGGTAGTTGGGAAAATAAAATGGAGGGGAGGAGAATAATGTGAGCTGCTTTGGTTCCCCTTTGGAGAGAAAGGTGTACAATAAATGAAGGAAATAAATCTATAATCCCAATTGTGCAAAAGATTGCCCCTAAGTATTCTAGTGCAAAGAAACAATGGCTGCTCTCCCTTTGAAAATATAAAATCTCGCAGTTAGTAGAATCTGTCCCTAATGTGTCTGAACTGGCTTTGTTGTATGCTGCATGGGAAGGTTTTGATTTTGTTCTACTTCTTGAAATAAACTGATGGAAAAGACTGATAAAAGGAGGCAGGTGTCCTTCTGCAGAAAGCACTCACAGCTGAGATCTCAGCTGCTCTGACTTTATTATCAGTGCATTTTCATCATCCTGATTCCTTACCACTATAATAGTCATTTAGTAGTCATATAGTAGTTATTTCCTACCATGCTGAGAGCTAGTGTGGTGTAGTGATTAAGAGCAGTGGACTCTAACTTGGAGAACCAGATTTGATTTCCCACTCCCCCACATGAAGCAAAGTAATGGAAGCAGTAAAAGGTAAGAAGGATTCCTTTAAGCAGTGGAAGGCTAGTCTGAATGAGGCCAATAAAATGCAAGTTGGTGATCAGACTATGAAGAACATATTGTGAAAAACATAAAGACCAACAATAAAAAATTATTTAAATACATTAGAAGCAGAAAACCAGCCAGGGAGGCAGTGGGGCCATTGGAAGACCAAGGGCTAAAAGAATTACTACAGGATGACAGGGAAATAGCAAAGAAGCTGAATGCATTTTTTTGCCTCAGTCTTCACTGTGGAAGATGGGAGGTGCTTGCTTACTCCAGAACCGCCTAAATTCGGGAGGGGTGTTGAAAGACCTGAGTTAGACTGAGGTGACAAGACAGGAGGTACTATGACTGATGGACAAATCAAAAACTGACAAATCACCAGGCCCAAATGCATACATTCTGAAAGAACTCAAATAGGAATTTGTGGGTCTCCTGACAAAAATATGCAGTCTATCACTAGAATCTGCCTCCATTCCCGAGGACTAGAAGGTAGCTAATGTAACCCCCATCTTTAAAAAAAAAAAAAAAGGGTTCCAGAGGAGATCCAGGAAATTACAGACTGGTCAGTCTGCATGGGTGCACATTCAGCTGGTGCTACGCCAGCTGCACTGACTACCAGTTGACTACCAGATCCACTTCAAGGCTATGGTGCTGACCTTTAAAGCCCTACGCGGCCTGGGACCAGCATACCTTCAGGACCATCCCTCCCCATGTATATCCTGGAGAGCCTTGCGCTCAGCAGACCAACATCTACGGGTAGTCCCTGGCCCAAAAGATGTCTGCTTAGCCTCGGCCAGAGCCAAGGCCTTTTCTGCCCTAGCCCTGGCCTGGTGGAACACGCTCCCCAATGAGATCAGGGCCCTGCAGGACTTTTTACAGTTCCACAGGGCCTGCAAAACAGAGCTGTTCTGCCAGGCCTTTGGTTGAGCCGCTGGATGTTTCTACCATCTTGGCCTCCCTTGTCCATAGTAAACCTACAGATGCCTGCAATCCTGCTAATGTCTAACAGGATGCATATTGGACTGCTCTGGAGTAATGTATGTTTCTTAGCTGCCATCCTGTTTTATTTAACTGGTTTTAATTATATATTCATTGTATTTTATTCATGCGGTGAGTTACCATGAGCCCACTGTGGGGTAGGATGGAATATAAGTGCAATAAATAAATAAATAAATAAATACATAAACATCAATACTGGGTAAGTTGGTGGAATCCATTATTAAAGACAGAATTAGTAGGCACATTAATGAATAAAAGCTATTGAGGAAGAATCAGCATGGAATCGCTAAGGGGAGATCTTGTTCCACTAACTTTTTAGTGTTCTTTGAGGGGGTGAACAGACATGGGGACAAGGGTGACCCTGTAGATGTTGTTTACCTACACTTCCAGAAAGCTTTTGATAAAGTTCTTCGTCAAAGTCTCTGAAGTAAACTCAGCAGTCATGGGATAACAGGACCTCTTGTGGATTAAAAACTGGTTAAACAACAGGAAACAGAGAGTGAGCATAAATGGGCAGTTTTCACAATGGAAGGTGATAAGCAGTGAGGTGCTGCAGGGCTTGGTTCTAGGTATGGTGCTTTTTAACTTGTTCATTAATGATTTGGAGTCAAGAGTAAGCAGTGAAGTGGCTAAGTCTGTGGATGATTCTAGGTTGTTCAGGGCAGTGAGTACCAGGGAGGACTGTGAGGAGCTCCAGAGGGCTCTGTCGAGGCTGAATGAGTGGGCATCAACATGGCAAATGAGGCTCAACATGGGCAAGTGCAAAGTAATGCACATTGGAGCCAAAAATCCTAACTATAAATACACATTGATGGGGTCTGAACTGGTGGTAACTGACCAGGAGATCGATCTTGGAGTCATGGTAGATAATTCACTGAAGATGTTAACTTAGTGTGCAACTGCAATAAAAAAGGCCAACACTATGCTGGGGATTATTAGGAATGGAATTGAAAACAAATCAGCCAGTGTCATGATGCCCTTGTATAAATCTATGATGCGGCCTCATTTGGAATACTGTGTGCAGTTCTGGTCAACGCACCTCAGTGCATTGGAAAAGGTGCAGAAAAGGGCAACTAAAATGATTAACGGGATGGAACTCCTTCCCTATGAAGAAAGGTTAAAGAGGTTAGGGTTCTTTAGCTTGGAGAAATGACGACTGAGGGGGTAACATGATAGGAGTTTACAAAATTATGCAAGGGATAGAGAAGGTAGAGAAAGAAGTTTTCCGCTTTCTCACAATACAAGAACTTGTGGGCACTCAATGAAATTAATGACCAGTAGGCATAGAACAGATAAAAGGAAGTACTTCTTCACCCAAAAAGTAAATAAGACGTGGAATTCACTGCCACAGGAAGTGGTGGCGGCTATAAGCATAGACAGCTTTATGAGGGCATTGGATAAACATATGGAGCAGAGGTCTATGCATGGGTATTAGCCTCAAGGTATAGATGAAACACTATGTCTGGGGCAGTGATGCTCTGTATTCTTGGTGCTTCGGGGGCAACAGTGAGAGGGCTTCTGGAGTTCTGGCCTCACTGGTGGACTTCCTGATTGCACTGTGTGACACAGAATGTTGGACTGAATGGGCCATTGGCCTGATCCAGCATGGCTTCTCTTATGTTCTTAAGCCTGCTGGGTGACCTTGGGCCAGTCACAGTGCTCTCAGAACTCTCTCAGCCCCACCTACCTCACAAGGCGCCTGTTGTGGGGAGAGGAAGGGAAGGCAATTGTAAGCAGCTTTGAGACTCCTTAGGATAGAGGAAAGTGAGGTATAAAAACCAACTCTTCACCTTCTAGTCATATCTAGCAAGGAAGCAACAAATCTGCCATATTGTGTTATACCTTCACTTAGGACATGGACTTTTTCATGGAAATCGGACATAACTCCTGCAAACCTTGCAGGTATGCTGTGACATAAACTGTGCATTCTGCAGAAGGACATATCATTGGGAGTCTGCTTAATCTCCCAAGAACGTTTACCTGTTTATAAAAAGTACTGTGAGGTCCTTTGGGAGCATTCAGGTATTTTTAGGGTTATGATTCCAAACTGGAAACTTCTACTGTAAACACACTCTGGTACACCAAGCAAAACTATGCAATTGAATTTATGTAGGTTAGCAAGGTTAGTAGATCATATTCGCTTTCAAGGCTATCTGTGCCAAATGGCTCAATATGTCAATGGTTATCAATATAATAGTACAGGAGGCAACTAAGCCATTCAACTGTAAAAATGATATAAATGGAGAGCTGCTGGCAAACAGTACAGCCCTGATTCAGATGTCATCCTGGCAGTTAGTCATACATACAATGAGATGCATGTTCCCAGTTGCATCAACAGATACATCCAGCCAGTTCAATACCACTCAGGTGAGCACTGTATTGGGTTGGAAATGTGCAGGCGTTATCATGTGTATTATCTCTGCTTGCAGAAGACAGTTTATGTGTATTGATTATTCTTGCAGGAAGGGTTTGCTTATTTGTACAACATAGAACTGCTTTGCAATTACTTCCTTATCTAAACAAACTACATAAAAAGGGTTAACATTACTGTCAAAGAGTTACAGTGGAAAGAAAAGCCACTTGACTGTACCCGGACGTCTCTCAACCATTATTATCCACAGACACTTTTAGTTAAGAAGTGATGTACACAAGAGTTCCCATGTCATTCTAATGTAACACAGAAAGCACATCAAGACTTGAGGCTGATTCACATGTGCATTATTTATGTGAATAGGTCACCATAAGCTGGCTTCCCAGTAGATTTTGGGATGGCCTTGTGAATGCAGTGCCACATGCCCAAGTCATAATTCATTGTGTCTTGCAAAACATTTGACAAATAGGTTGGATCACAATGTGGCAAACCACAACCACTATGCATCACATCATTCTCAAGTTCAGTATACCAGGTTATCACTAACCCTATTCACATTGATAGAGACAGTAAATCAAATAATTCCTGGAGCTGGGAGCTTTAAAATAAATGGGCTTCCATGGCCACAGAAATCGTACTTTGCTTTTTTCTGTTTCAGCCCAATACAACAGCACGACAACTCCTCCAAACAAGCAAAAGTCTGCAGTCTTCACCCTTACGGAGACCCTTGCCTAGAGCGAAATGCATGGAGTCCCCTGATTTCTGCAGAGGGTCAGAATCTAGAAGGAAGAGCATGAAGCAATTCTCAATTACCACTGCCTTAAATACTCTCAACAGGATGGTCCATTCGCCCACAGAGCGGCAATCTCTGGAGATCAGCTCTCCTGTGCTCATCAGCTCCAGCAATCCATCTGTGGCTGCCCAGAACAATGAGAAAACAGAATTCCCATATAGCACCCCTGCTCAGGTAAATACAGATTTATTTTGGGTGAAAGCAACAAGCAAACAAAAGCTTAAAAGGAGGTGATGTGTATACACATTTTTGCTTGGCAGGCAGGTAGCGGCTTAAAAACCCAACCTTATCTGCCTCAGAAGTATTCTCCTAGGAAGGATTAACTCTGTTTTCTAAAGATTTATATCTGTTGTGGTAGAAACTCTGTGCTAGAATGAAAGTAGCCATGGCAAGCTCACTGTCCTATGTCAAATGAGGCACAGGGTGCATCCGTTCTTTCTTACAGATCTGTTTATTCCTCATGAAGTACATTATGTTTATTTTTTTATTTATTAAAATTTTGAATTTAAAGTGCTTGCTCCGGTTTCCTTTCAAACTTTTAGTTGCTCCAGTCTGTGTAAAAATGACAGAAATAGAATTGAAACAAAAGACACAGACTTTACAAACAACAGAGAATTCAGACCAATCATTAATACAAAAGACAGCAAACACCTGGAAGCAAAAGAAGGTTTTTGGTTGGTTGGGAGCCATCCTAAAAGAAGAACATTCCTGAGGATGACCTCCACAACTAGAAAGGTTATGTGTGTATCTTCTATGATATTGTGTAAATCAACTATTTAGAATGAGTAACGGGCGTCATTTGGTAAACTAAACACACAAGAAAGATCCCATGTTCCAGGTCTGATCTCTGAGATTCTCAGAAGCTATAACCTTCATGACTGCTTACTAGTACTTCTTTTAAGGCTGTCCCAGGCAAACCCAAGAAAAAAAGTTATCACAATGGAGATTGCTAGGCAGATGCTTGAAAGACAGTTCTGATTCATCTTCTTTGAGCTTTGCCAGGAGACCACTCCCCCCCCCCGCGCCCGGCACAGGGCAAAGGCAGCTAAATCCCAGCATTCCTGACAACATAATTCCTTGGATTGTTTCAGTGAAGCCTCATGCATGCCACACCATAATTGGCCTCCTAACCTGAAACTAAGCAACTATCTCCACAAATCCCCCTAGTACTTACTTACTTATAACATTTTCAAGTCTCCTTTCCTTATAAACAGGTAGCACCTTGGAGACCAAAAGGATACCTGGCAAAGGGAGCTTTGACTCTTGAAAGTTCATAGCCTGAAAATCTTTTTTTTAAAAAAATCCCCTGAAGACAGGGTAGCTTTATTAAATTTTGTTACACCTACGTGACTACAGAAAGGAAAAAAAGGGAAAAGGGGAAAAAAGGGAAGGGGGGGGAATAACAAACTAAAATAACAAACCCCGGGATACAGACAGTACAAAAGAAAAGAAACCCACACTATAACTAAAAACCCAAGAAAGGAAGGTCATTAACAGTTAGTATACAGTTAGTCATAAAAATTAAAGCTTTCGTTTGAGTCAATGAATTAAGGAGATTAATGAGTCCATTTTAGTAAATGTCTAATTTCTTCTCAGTATGCACAAAGACTTCATCCAGTTCGTTCATAAATCTTTTAGATCATAAGAGCTACTTGGCAACTCTTAGCCGCAAATCATATGCCTCTCTGGCCGTGCCTCCTTCTGCTCCTATTAGGTCTCCGTCCGTCTCGTCCAGGAGGGCTGCTTGGCCTCCACCGTCTTGCTGCTCTTCCTCTTTCGATCCGAAAAACCGCTTCGACCATTCTTCCGCTTTGAACACCGAGTCGATTTTTTCTCTTTTGTCCTTATATTTAAACTGCACCCCCTCTGGAAAAAGCCAGGCGTATTGAATCTGGTTGATCTGAAGTGTTGAGATAAGCTCTTTATACGCTTTTCTTTTCTGTCGGACCTCAAATGGAACGTCCTTTAGGACCCTGATAGTTGTTGATCCCAGTTGCAGGGGTCTGGCTGCTGTCGCTTTAAGAATATCATCTCTTGTCTGTCGTCGGAGAAATTTGACAACAATCTCGCCCGGCAAGTTGTTTTGCTTAATATATTTAGAGTAGGATCGATATGTCACTTCGATCTCTGCTTGCGCTTCAGCCTGTGCATTGCCGAGCGTCGATGCAATTAGCTCTGCCGCCACCTCCTTCAAGTTTTCTCCTGCCGTTTCAGCCACCCCTTGAAACCTGAGAACTTTATTAGCTTTTTCCATCTGTAGATTCAATAGCCTTCTTTCTTGGAGATCTTGCCTTTGCTCCAACAGACCAACTTTCTTCATCATCTTTTTGGTATCGTGTGCTGTCTCTTTAAGCTTTTCATCGGTTTGAATCGACTTTTTCACGAGCTCGGCGATCTGCTGTTGCTGCTTTGCCACTCCTTCCTCTACCCTCGGACTTTGAGAACCACGCCCCACTTTTGTTCCTCTCCCTCGGACACCGGCCATTTTCCGCTTTGTTTACACTAAAGAGTGCTTTTTCACACTTCTTCAGCAAGTGCAAACTTATCCATAAAAAACAGCTAAGTCTCTGGCACACTTGAGTGCTTTCTTTTCTCCTCCCCCCTGTCTCTTTAGGACACAGTTCAGTTTGTTTACGTCTGGGATTCCTCCCGGCGCCGCTGAGGGTGGGGGGGGAATCGGAACTCACTTTTAAAACTTCTTCGCTCGTCTCATTCTCCAGTTCATTGACGGTCTGGTCCCAGACACCTTTTAATCGCGCTTCATTCGCTGACCCTCTTGCTTGTCCCGATCGGCATCAGCTATGCTCGGTAAAAACCGAGCCTCTCAGGGGGTGGACCGAATGGGGCAAAAAGGAGCGCCTCAATTCTCCAGCTTCGAGCCATCGAAGAAGTCGCCCCCCAGGCGCCCCCGGCTTGGAGCCTCTACACTGAGGCTCACGTGGGGGTGCCACTTGAGGTGGCACCCCTCCAACACCCCAGGAGCACGGAATGCCTCCCCTGTTCAGGAGAGAGCCTCCGCCATCGCTGAAGCCACAGACCGGAAGTCCCATAGCCTGAAAATCTTGATGATCTTTCAGGTGTTCCTGGACTCAAATCCAAATGTTCTACTGCAGGCCAACATGGCTACCCTCTGAAACTTCCCTGATAAAGTAGAGGTGAAGGTCGAAGAAGGAGATAGGCTGGAAGAGTGGGAGTAGAAGGATTTATGCATGTGAAAGGATTTATGCATGCATCCATGGGAAAAAATTGTATGCTTTGAAAGCATTAGTTATCTGTTAAAGAGGTGGAGAGGCCTAGATTCCATTCATCATCCAATCAGTCAAAGTTGCCACTGCCAGCCATATGTTAGAGGGGATGCACATATAGATCTAATCAAACACAGGGCTTCGTGCCAGATTGGAGCAATTTAGCTTAATTTTTGTCATAGATTAAATTCAACTAAACTTTGGGTGCTTCCTATTGGTAAGAATTGTTTGGCAGTGGAATACACTGCGCAGGGAGTTTGACAGATCTTTTTTGGAAGCCTATACACAAAAGCCTATATTGATAATGTCTTGCTAAGGTTATCCTGTATTAGTTTACAATAGATGATCCATTTGGGTCTCTTCCAACTGCCTAAGAATGCATACATAAAAGTATTTGCCATGGAAACCAGTGGGATTTACAGTAAAATAGTTGTTGTTTTTAGGCAATTGGTTGAAGGTCCTTTATCTTCTGTTATCACCTTTATTTTCCTCAGTGTGGAGATTAGCTGACAAAGAACAGGCCTATTCACTCTTCTATATCATTGCTGGTCTTCAGTTTTAATTCTTAAAACTACTAGAGCAAGGCTAAAAAAGATTGAAGACTCTTTTTCAGTGTGTCAGATAAAGTAGAAGGGCTAGAGATAAATCATAAGTGCTAATGATGAACTTCCTGTGTGGCCGCGGATGGAAGCAGACGCAGGCTGAGTGAGCTCCTGCCTCTACCGTCCTAAAATCGACTATAAATCGGACTATCCACCTGAAAATCGTGCTACAAAGGGATGGGAGGAGCATCTAAAGGGAAATCGAAAAGACATCAGTTACCGGAGTCTTCAGTGAAGACTTATTTTACAAGAACAGAGGCAACTAAAACTGCAGAATTACCAGAACAAAGGAGGCTCAACATGGCAACAGGCAACTCAACGCCAGCTTCAAGAGCTACAGACGAAGACACCCCAATTACTGTCAGCAAGCTGCCATTGTATCTGATGTTACCTGCTTCACATGCCTTGTGCTCTTCCCCCCCCCCCCCTGGGTTTAGACTGCTTCATTATGCTTCTCTGTGTTTTGCGGAACTGGCCAAGGTCGTGCAGCTGGTGGGGGGGAGTCGGAGCTTCGCTAAGCTTGTTATGGTTATCTACCCTGTGAACTGAACCTGTGTTGATGGTATTGGACTGTTACATTCCCATGGAATAGGCGCGCGTTTCCGAGTTCTATTCCCGCCAGCGGGAACTGGCCTCATTGGCCCAACATGGTTCAAATCCCTTTTATATGCTACACTTGTGTATTGGTAGTTATTCCTAACAATGTTCTTGTTCCTGTCTGAACCATCGCTTTGAAATAAACCTTGCTTTGATTCAAACGTGGAGTTATTTCGAATGCCTGGGGATCCAACATTTACAAGGAAAGATCTGGTGGAGATGAAAGACGACCTTCTAAAATCCCTTTCAGAGATGGTAACGACTTTGATTCAACTTTTACAATCCCAGATCACTGATTTACAAAAGGACTTAAGCGTCACTTCTACTCTGGCTGAAAACAATGCTGAACTCACCCTCACTCTCCAATAAGACATGAAAACAATCAGAGTCACTGAAAAGCAAACGAATGCCCGGATAACGGCCCTGGAGCACCGTTGGCGTCAATTTAATCTGAAACTGAGAGGGCTGACTGAGGGAGAGGAACAAGGAAGAGACATGGAGCAGTTTATCTCAGAATGGCTGGCATCGGAACTCAAGTTGGAGGACGGTAAGCAGCCTATCATTGTTAAAGCCTTCAGAATGGGCCCCCTGACCACTGCAAGGAGAAACTGCCCCAGGGACATTCTGGTACAGTTTTTATACCCTAAAACCAGAGACAGGGTCCTCAGGGAGTTGAGAATTTGGGGGTCATTACAGTTTAAAGATGATAAAATCCAAGTTTTGTTGGATC